AAAACTAGCATCGAAGGCCCACAGAAATACATCCTAAGTTGTCAGAAGAAGTGCCTTGCATACTGTGAAGTAAAAAGATTTAGGAAAAAAAAAATACTTGGTCACTAGTATATTGTTTCTCCCCATTTTCTGACATTCCCCCCTCTCTCCTTCTGTCAGATATAGAGCAACCAGGCAGCAATGTCCACAATCTCGAGGGTTGGTCGTCTAGTCCTGCCAAGGACAGCCCTTCTGGTCTGTGACCTTCAGGAGAAGCTCCGTCCAGCTATTGCGCATTTTGATGCCGTTGTCAATGTCTCCAACCGCCTCATTCAGGCAGCAAGGATTCTGCAAATGCAAACCATTGTCACTGAGATGTATCCTAAGGGTGAGTTAATATAATTTTCTCACCCTCCTATCGATTTTGTTCTAGAACATACCTCCTGTGCAGTTTTGTTCCTCTGGACTGACTAATTAAATGAACCCCATAACGGGCTGCCCTGCGAGTGTGCTGAGCCAAAGTGGTGTTCATACTGGTTCACGACATTTGCTTGTTGGCCAGCCCAGTCGTCTTCTCGCTGTGCCAGCCACCGCGCCCAATCAAATTGCCTGTTGTTTAGCAGACTAAGACAGTGGACTGGCGTAGAGGAGAGGGAGAGAGGAGCCGACACTTGGGCATCCATCCTCACGAAGAATCCTGCGCATGTTCCACTATAATAAATTTGAAGTTCTTGAATCTGTTACAACTCGGCAAGAGTTGTGGCCTGGAAAGTTGCTCACTGATGACCTAATTCGACTCTTCTCGGGGGGTGAGAGTCAGGCTGCAATAGCTCCTTTGTAATGTGACTTTTGTAAAAATCTCATGCATATGAGTCCCCAGCCGCCCTAGAGAATCCTGGTATATGTGGTGAGGACCAGATCGTGTGACACGTGTAGACGGACAGCTGAGGTTTTTCAGCTATGGTTTTCACGTCCACCTCCAGTCGTTTCTAGTTTGCCGAGCAAGGTGGTTGAAGCACGTAGTGAACCTCTTCGCTCGTGCCTGTCGGACTGTCGTTTTTACATTGATTGGATTACAGTGCTGCCTAGAGTGGAGACTTATGATTTAGATTAACGCTCAACCGGTTCAACTAACGGAGTACGCTTATCTCCTTTTACATATTAACATTAATCTCGAGTGTTAGTATGGGGATCCCAAGTTTGATCAAGACAAGGGAGGCGTAGGTTTCATTGGTTGGTCCCTTTATGG